CGGGGTTGGGGGGGCCGTGACAGCGCAGGGGGGCGTCTGGGCCGCCGTGGGAGCGCGCGTGTGCGGGGTTGTGGATCTGCAGGTGTCTCGCCTGGGTGTGTGCGTGTGTCTGGCTCCGAGTTTGTGCTGGGGTCTGCAGAGAGTGGTTGTGTCAGTCTTGGGGAATGTTGGGGGCTGTGGCCCATGGGGTGTCCGCACTGTCCCCATGTGTGTTTATGTGGCGTTCTGTGTGGATACGCGTGCCTGAGGGATGGGTGCTCTGTTTATGTGTAGTGTACCTCCGTATGTGTGTGTTCTCTGTGAGAGTTGTCTGTGTGTGCTCTTTAGGGGTGATTCTGTGGGTCTCTGTTGCCTGCTGTGCTCCAGTGTGTGGTTGTAGTGTGTTTGTGTGCTGCTTGAGTGAGCTGTTTGTGTGTTTATATGTGCGTCTTGCCTGATGTGCTGTTTGTGTGTGCTTGTGTTATCTTGCCTGTGTGTACTGTTTCTGACTGTATAGCTCCAGGGCATGTGTCCTCAGCTGAGCCTTTATGCTGAATGACGTTGTCTGTTTTCTATCCAGGTGTCTATGTGAGTTCTGCGTGGTTGTGTGTGCGTGTGTTTGGTGGGGGGTTGTTTCAGTCTGTTTGGCTTGTGTGTCTGGCATCAGTGTCTGGGAATTGCGGACCTGGGCTCTGTGGGGTATGTGCGGAGCAGTCAGTGGGTGTTGCTGGCAGCCTCTTGTATGGGGCTGTGTCTGAGCCTCTGTGTGTGTGTGTGTTTGTGTGTGTTGGGTCTGAGGGGCTTGTCTCTGTGATCGGCTGGCTCATGTGTGTCATGTGGGCTGCGTGTGTGTAGTGTTTATGTCAGTCACGTGAGACCAGTGTTTTCTGTGGGTGCTTTAGGTGTGCGTGCTGCTGGGCAGTGTGGGATTAGAGTTCGCTATAGTGTGTGTGTGTGTGTGTGTGTGTGTGTGCGCGCGTGCGCGTGTGTCCAGGGCTGACAGTTGGTGATTTTGAGGTTGAGGGAGGAGGGTGGGTTGCTGTCTTCTGTTGTGTCTGTGTGTTGTTGCCGGCATGTGGTGCTGCATCTGGGTCTGATGACGATGTCTGTGTGTCTCTGCTTTACATGTGTCCTGGGGTTCGAGAATTGGTGGCAAGTGGGTGTGTTTTGGTTGTGTTGGTCTGTGTGTGTCCATGGATGACTGTTTTGTGCTGATATGCGTGAGTCCTGAGGTGTGTAGGTCTCATCTATTGCATGTGTGTTGTAGGGAGGGGCAGGTGTGTTGGAGAAGTGTGGCGTAGTCTATTTAATGTGTGTTTCTGTCTGCTTGTGATGGCTGCATTGTGTGTCTGTGTGGGCAGAGTGGGTCAGTGGGTGAGATTCTGAGTCTGTATGTGGGATGGAGGGGATGGAGTGCCAGCCAGAGGCGTTGTGTGGCTAGCTCTTCGGATGGTCTGTATGTATATGTATGTCCATGTTTTGGTCAGTGTTTGTGTGTGTGTCCTGGGGACTGAGTAGCCATGTCCAAGCCTGGGAGTGTCTCAGTGCTTCTGTGCAAATGGGAAAATGGGAGATGAGGTGGGAGGTCAGGCTGGCCAGTCCTGCGTGAGCCCTTGTGTGTGTTGTGTCCCCTCCACACACCTCACCAATCTTCGCCATTTGGGTCCTGTGTAAGTCCCTGTGTGTATTGTGGGAGCCATCACGGTGCCTGGCTGCCCTCCCTGTGTGCCCATCACTGTATTCGGGAAGTTAGCCCCACCGGCCTGTGTGAGTCCCAGGTTGGGTGAATTTGTGTTGTGGGGCTGTCAGCCCTCATACACACACACCTGACAGAGCTCTCCATCTGGGTCCTGTGTGAGCCCTTGTCCTGGCTGTGAGAGCCATCCCGTGCCTACTTGTCCCTCCCATGTGCCCATCACCCGGTGCATGGGATGCTATGTTGGTCAGCCCATGGTGCCTGGGGTCAGCCCTGGGCGGGGGTGTGTCTTGTGGGGCCATCACAAGCTCATCTGGGCCCTGTGTGTGTTGTGGGCGCCAGCTCTGCCTGCCACGTGTGCTCATCACTGCGTGCAGGGGTGGGGGTGCCCTGGATACCCCGGGTGGGGTGTGTGCATCGTGAGGTCCTGGCGCCCCCCTTTCCCTGCTGACCGCACCCTTCTACCCTGTCCTGCAGGCCCCAGGGAGCGCCATGGCCCGAGCACGCCAGGAGGGCAGCTCCCCGGAGCCCGTAGAGGGCCTGGCCCGCGACGGCCCGCGCCCCTTCCCCCTCAGCCGCCTGGTGCCCTCGGCCGTGTCCTGCGGCCTCTGCGAACCCGGCCTGC